TATGTAGTACTAGCTGTGCCCGCGACTTCGTTCGCGTAGAATAGTGACTATGAGCAGCGTTTTTTTTTTAAATATATACTTATTTTTATTCTAGATTTGGATCATAATCACAGTCATTTTGGGTAGCTAAAAACCTACTTTACTGTAATGCTATTTACAATATTAGACGTATGGCCATCGGGGGTGAAAGCATACAGGCTGCTGGGATTGCTAACACGGGACAGAGCCACATACAATTGACCGTGCGAAAAATAGCTGATACTTAGATCTATACCCACAACTTTTAGAGTCTGACCTTGAGCTTTATTAATTGTCATGGCGAAACATAGGCTCACTGGAAACTGAATTCGTTTAAAATTAAACGGAATTTTTTTTAGAATGAGAGGAATCTGAGGAATAAAAGCACTATCACCTTTTCCGCACCCTGTTAATTAATATATATATATATATTTATAAGCCATTTCTGAGATTAGCGTGAACAGACAAACAGACAAACAGACAAAAAAAAAGTTAGTTACATTTTTGGGTTCGACATCGACATAACAATAGCTATTTGCTATTTTTTTTATTTTTATTTTCAATGTACAGACAGCACTTTTCTACAATTTTATTATATGTATAGATAGATAGATAGTGTTCGACGTGATTCTTTAATTTGACGTAACTTTTTTATTTATGAACCGATTGACATGAAACAAACACTAAAGTATAACTGAAGCAGACCACAATATATTCGTGAAAACCGCATCCAAATCGGATAAGCCGTTTCTGAGATTAGCGTGAACAGACAAACAGACAAACAGACAAAAAAAAAGTTAGTTACATTTTTGGGTTCGACATCGACATAACAATAGCCCCTGCTATTTTTTTTATTTTTATTTTCAATGTACAGACAGCACTTCTCTACAATTTTATTATATGTATAGATAGATAGATAGATGTAGAAAAAGTAGGAATGGTGAAAAATAAAATCTACTATGCCGTCGCCACACTGCAAACAATAAACATAATAGGGACTTTACAATTATTTGGAGCTCAAATTTTTTTTTGTGGAATAGGAGGCAAACGAGCAGACGACGGGTCACCTGATGGTAAGCGCCGCCGCCGGACACCCGCAACACCAGATGAGTCACAGGTTCTTTGCCGGCCTTTTAAATAGGAATACGCTCTTTTCTTGAAGGTTTGAGGTCGTATCGATTCGGAAATACTGCCGATGGTAAATTATTCCACAGTTTTGTTGTGCGAGGCAGATAGCTACGAGAGAAACACAAAGTTGTAGCCTGCCACCCATCTAGTTTGGTAGGCCACAAACACCACAATCACCTGATGGTAAGCGATCAGCAACGCCGCCAAACATCCGCAACCACCAGAGGAGTCACAGGTTCTTTGCCAGCCTTTTAAATAAAAATACGCTCTTTTCTTGAAGGTTTGAAGGTCGTATCGGTTTGGAAATACCGCTGATGTTAGATCATTCTATCATTCCACAGTTTTGCTGTGCAAGGCAGCAAGCTACTAGAGAAATGCATAGTTGTAGCCTGCCAAGTGCCAACCATCTATATGATGGATACGGTGTCGTGAGGGTCGATGGAGAAAAGACGCGGTAGATACAAGATCAAACAATTGCTCAGAGCACTTACTCACTTAGTTTAGTCTGCATACAACTCATATTTATGTACTGTGTCTGGGCGCTACACTAAACGAACTTACCTTTATTCTTGGTCTGCAATGGGCATTAAAACTATTGCTAGTTAGTCATGAGGATACTTTTTGCGTATTTATTTTTAAAAGACCGGTAACGCACCTGTGATTCCTCTGGTGTTGCGCCGCTCATGGACACCCGTCCATGAGCGGCGCTGATCACTTACCATCCGGTGATACGTACAGACGTATCACCGAACGAACGAGGCAAACGAACAGTCGTTTGCCTCCAATTATATATAAAAAAAATATTTACAATGTTTCGTCAGTCTTTTTAAACTTTGAGACGTATGGTGTCCCTACTTCGGTCTGCAAACCAATTTATATTCAGAGAAGCACACGTCTGGAATGTTATCGTAATTTGGGATTTCACAGTTTCGTTGATATATATTATGTATTTTCATACTCCGGCACAAATATTTTTTTTGTTTTTAATACTTACTTACGAGTGCGGGTGCAACGGACGGTATTTTGGGTAAAAAAATAAAATAATTTGCAAGATTCTGTTTAACATTTTAAAGGTTGCCATTGGAGATAGAGTACTCTCATAAATAAAATACATGTGTCATGATAATTATAGAATGCATTGTACCGCACTCCCCCTTGCGATAGTTTTAATAATTTTCTACCGATACTCACATTGCCCATTATATATAGAATTCCGACAAATACAAATATTTCTGCGTATCTATCTTGAGGCTCAAATGTTCTAACAAGTCTAACATTTAATCTAGACCCTATGATTCTGTCGTATATGAGACCAGGGTTTGGGAGACCATAATCATGTACTATCCTGCGCATTTGAGGAATAATGATCAGGGTTTTTTTTTTTTTTTAAGGGGGGAAAATCATCGAATGACTGCTCCCGCCTGGGTGAGGCGGGAGGGAGTGTCAGACTCTTACTGACTAAAAACCACCCCGTTCCTTCTCCTGCACGTCGAGCCGGAGCCCCGGTTACCCGTTAGGTTATAATGATCAGGGTGGGAGTGATAAATAAAATAAACAAATATAGCGATCTGACTGATAATCAAGAAGATATTATATAGACATGAAGTCACTCAAAGTTACTTTCCTTATAGATGCAGGAATTTTTGTAGGAATAACGATTCAACTTTAAATGAATTGATGTGTATACTATGTGTGTTCAGTCAGAAATTGATAGGGAATATCTTTGATTTGCATAATATTTATATTTGTGTTTAGTGTGTGTGTGTGTTTGTATGTTTTCTGTACCATTGCAAGGTGTCTAACTATTTTCTCACAATCAAAACTTTTTGTTAAGATTACAGAAAAAAGTTACCGATACCTAAATGTCATCAGGACAATGTAAACTTTGTCAGTTTTCTACGTCAATAACGTGATAATAATAAGATCGCAACATATTGCATATCACAAATATTATCATTGGATACGGCGTTGGCTAAACTTTAACAACACCACCAAATAACCCTGGTTTTCTAATAACCTTGGAAGATCCTTTAAGAGGCTCAGATAAAATGCAGAAAGAAGACATTTTTCCAGTGTTATCAACTACTGATGAGAGTAAAAATGGAAATGACACTACTGATCAGAATAAGGCTGAAACAACTGACAGTAAGCCTGAAGAACCGACACATCAACAGCAGGAGCCACCACCACCAGATGATGTAACTCCAGGGAGCCATATTCCAACTTATGACGAGTGTGCCAGGTTCAAGGGTTCCAGTAGACCACCTGATAGCCACTACCCTTCTGGTCCAGGACCAGGGTACAGGCAAGCATATTGTGAGAGTTCTAAAGTTAGCAATTTATTGATGTTTTGTAGTCTGATTTTGATCTTTATTACTTAGTAAGGATTTGGTTATTAGAATTATAGACGTCATATAAGAGGTCGATGGTTAGAATCTAGGTTTTGTCCTCACTCCGCAGGTTAGCAAAAATTTGGATTTGGCTGGATATAAATTTTGGTTTTGATTTTAGTATCCAAAACACGTTTATTTACCTCTAATTTTATACCGTCTGATACCTTATTGAACTATACTTGTGAATTGATAGAGATCTAAGAAGTTCTGTATTAGGTATTTAGAGCCATAAGGACATTCGATGTCATAAGGATGCCATCGTAACTTTGGGCTTTGAGGTCCATTGGACACGGCATTTTTTATACGCTTAGGCAACGCGCGATCATTGATTGACATGACGCGTATTTGAATTGATTATACAAGCGCGCGCATAAAACGCGTATATGCACAATAAAGATGCGTTTCATGATCGCTCCGTGTGCAAGGTTGCGTTCGAATCTCATCTAAAGCGCGTATACGCGCGTCGCCTGCGCGTGTAGAAATACGCCGTGTGCTAAAAATTACTCTAACTAATATTTATCGGGCATTCTTTATCATAAATATCATAATTATTAATGTTTACTCAAAAATGAAACACATTATACTGTAAGAATTATATTGTTTTATTTCAATTTTCGGGTACGAAAACGTTACAAAACGTAGTAATTAGATTATACATTGATAAATATTTTATAAATGATCACATTTAGAAGACTTTATATATTGCACTTACAAACTATGAGGCACTTCGAAGCCTGATAGCGCAAGCTCACCACATGCGTTTACCATAACCGGAACCCATGAATAAAACTAATAAGTTTTAATTCTAGAACAATACTTAGTAACTAACATTCCTTAAAAAAATTATCTTGAAGATCCTATAAAAAGTTTTTACATCCCAGATCAATCATCATCTCTGAAGTGAGTTGCAGGTATTATGCGCAGTGCACATAAAAATTCCATTGCGCAGCCACTCGACTCCAATTCATACCGGTTATATTTGCATCGGATTGTTCCTCGTAATCTATTGGGTTGACCCAATTTTTAAGGAATTTGGCACACAGATAAATTATTTTTGATATTAACATTTCTTTGGAAAAAAAAACAGATTTTTATAAAAATGAATTTACATAAATACTTTAATAATTGATTGTTTCAATGAAATTATGATTTATATAAATAGCTGTTACGCCTTTTCAATTTTGGAATAAAAAGGGATTCAATATTTTTTTTTCTTATCAACGTTAAGTTTTGCATAGATCCTAATTTAAATTAAATCCTTAAAAACTAAATTAGAAACTAGAAATGTACATAAGTTACCGTTTCATCTTCAAATCCAAATTAAAAACTTAAATGTATCCGAAAAAATCGTAGGTACGCTAAACTAGGTCAATTTAAAAATTAACTACTTATTTAAAAATAGGTATTACTAAAAATAAATATCGAACGTGGTGAGCTTACGACTATACATTTTTATTTTTCTTTAAATAGCAACTAAAGCTAAACTAGTTTCCACAATAAGGCCGACTTGATTTATCGGTATAGGTACTTATAATAGGTATATAAGTTATAAACTTACAACTTATAATTTTAGTTAAAAACTCACAACTTATAAGTTATAAACTTATAATAAGTTTATGAACTACGTATGTATGCTGCATATTTTTGACTTTTATAATTATAATAGTAATTTTATTATAAGAGTTAGGTATGTCTTGTCTGGTATTGTACGAGAATGTGATGTTTATGTCCCTGTTTTCCTGCAGCAGACACGTTAATAGTTTTTTATTAAAATGTAGCCATGAGAGCCACTGAGACTAGGTGATAGGAAATAAATGATTTTAAACTACATTTTTCGGTAAAAAGACCAATTAAATTACTGAAAAATATAAAAATTAAATGTTTCCAATTCATCTAGTTGGTTATCTATTAGATATTACAATTTTTAATTCGATTCCTAGCTCTGGAGATTAACGTTTATGATTACAATGATTTTTCCTGTGATTTTACTAAGTACTTGAAATATAAAGCTTAACCCTCTTTTTTTAGCAGTCGGGCAATAATTTCAAATAAAATCACAGATAAAATATTACAAAATAGTGTACCTATACTTCTTACATTCATTATGTACATAGATAATATAATCATTATAAAAATCTACAAATATATTTATCACTAGCGAATAATCTACTGAAGTATAGACTAAAAATGCATTTCAGAATGAGCAAAAAAAAAAAAATATAAACATGGAAAGGCGAAGTGCAAGGATTATGCCGATACTGCCATGGTTAATAAAATTATTATTTAAAAAAAATTGAACTAGACGATAAACAAAGTATCGAAGAGAGTTCGATCGCATTCTCTCCTTATTGGCCGAGAATATTCTCACAACCAATGAAATGGCGGCACGCGATCGAGTTCAGTTATCTTTTGAATTAAAAGTTCCAGAATAGTCTAGCAGAAGTGGAACTTTGTGGCTGATACAATGATGATTCACGACATCTGTCATGTTTTCAATATAACGAAACTAGGTAGTCGCAGTTTTAATTTAGTTGATTAAATCGACATTTAACTAGACGTAAGTGGCAAAGTTAACACATATAAATTTGATCTTAAACATAAAGAGGATAGTGTTTAAATTGAAATCACAAGCTTAGTCTTTACATACATTCGTTATTCGAGCTTATATGTTTAGCATTGTAGCAATGGACACTTAATTACCAAGATAAATCAACACTATGTGTGTTTTTGAAGCTTATAAGCTCATAAAGAACCCTATTTCACTAGGATACCATGGTCACGCCCTGGTTGCGCAACCAATAAAGTGTATGTAGTTATACGAAGGTTGTATACCTCGGTGTCAACTTTGTGGCGCAACTATTTGCTGTTGTCAGCAACCATGTTAATTAACTCTAGCGTTTGTTTTGGGTTGTGGTTGTGTAGGGTTGCGCAGCTGCTCGTAAAACCACAACGTACTAATGGGGCCCTAGACATATAATATCTACAAACAATTCTAACTGCTGTTTGCAAAAAAAGCACTTAAATTATATATAAAGTCAAGTACTTTGTTATACAAAAGCAAGCGAACACTAGCAAGCAAAATATTTACACTTCAAAACTTATAATGATGCCTTACAACTATGATCCTTCTGAATAGGAAGTTAAAGGCTATTATTGGATAGACCTTCTTGTTTCATTTTAGTATTTGCAATAGTAAATGTTCTTTTGCGAAGTATCAAAATATTATTTTTAAGAAGATTCATTGCCTCTGTATCAGCATTCTTGACTTAGATTACGGACGTGTGAATGTTTCTAACATAGAGTTATCCTTACAGTAACTGTTTAAGGCCTCTATCGTGTCTTGTATCCTATGCATTGTTAAACGCCTGAATTAGTTAGTACTTAACTTACAAAATCACTGGAGTGTGCGTATATCTTAACCGAGTTGTATTTTTAGTTTTAATCATAGTGATATGTTCGATTTAGGACACAATTCCGTTATCAACATTTTCAAATTCAGGCGGATTTATTGAACCCTGTAAGCTTAATTAGTATGCCTAGCGTTGAATAGCCTGAATTCTATTTTGTACCTGTGAGGTGTACTAGGTTTCGATATATGACCTTTATCCTTGTGTGTCGTCACAGTACACAGCCGGGTTTTGACCCGAAGATTTTTTTGAGTTCCTTCTTGATCACATTGTTTACAAAGGAACCTTGCTTCGCAGCATATTTGTCTCTCTTCGGGTTCGCCTTGTAGTATTTGATCCCAGGCTTGTGAACGAGGAAAGCGTTGCTCAAGATCATGAACTCGTAGTCTTTGGCGCAAAAGATGTAAGCCTGTAAGTAGCAAAATAAAAAGATTATTATAATGAAAGAATAGATGAAAGTAGAGTAACGAAAGAAGTATACAGAGCGGATATGAATGAGGCCGTCGGCAGAGGGTGCCCTAGACGGACATATACTAAATTGGCGATGTATTAAAGAAGGGCCAAATTAAAAGTACCCTTAACCGACGAGCATACATGAAAAGATTGATGAGTGTTGATGAAGCGAAAGAGGTATGTAGGAATCGTAGTATTTGGCGTTCCATAGTCTCTGTCTCCCCCATGGGAGACTGGCTTGAAGTTATGTATGTCTGTATGTATAATCTACTGAACAGTAATCTTTTAGGCATAGCTTACAGTGCTTAAATTAGAAGTAGGTATAAAGGTGTGAAGGAAAATCGTAGAAGATTAATACACTGTAGTTATAAATGATGTCAATTCTTAAACGACTTCAAAAAAGGAGGTTCTCAATGTATCTGTATGTATGTATGTGTGCTATTACCTCGCGATTGGCTGAACTGAGTTTGATACGATTATCAGAAAAGTTTTGATTACACTTAGGAGGAGGTTTTAGTATGTTAATTAACCGACTTCAAAGAAGAAGGGATTTTTAATGCAGTTTATAAAATAATGATTAAAGAGCTTATATAGATAAGAGTCGACATAATACACATTTGTGTTGTCTACAAACTGTTAAGGAAGAAGAACAGTGGTAGTTATAAATACAGTATTCAATAATTACCTGTGTCATTTTATCTTTCTTGCCCTCCCAACTCAATCGGTCGTCGTAATAAGCATCTGCGTGTGTCCCGATGAAGATAGGTTCCCAGTGACTATACTTTTTTTCTCGTTTGCCCACGTAAAACACTTCCATTACTGCAATATAATAATACAATATAAATTATAATTATGCTATAATTATTATTACAAACGAAAGTTTGATACATGTTATCCAATCACGCAAAACCATTAGAATAAACTTGGCACGAAGACCTGAGTTAATCACAGTATTTAATTGGTTTTCGACGGAATTTCTTTGAAATGTTTCTATTTATACGTATATTAATAGGTGTCACACATGTTAGCACTGAGTCTGGAATGAGCATGTGCAGTTGAATGTAGCTAACAATAATAATAAAGGAAACAGGTATAAAGTTAGCATAATGTATGTAAGTTGCTATTGACGCATTCCTGAATCGGAAAGTTTGCGATTTTACAAATTAAAGTTAGAGGCGGTCGTCTGGGAACTGCGGGTAAGGCGCGGTCGTTGAACCATAATACGCAATTAGAATGCCCCATACGACGGCCACGCCATGCTACAGACGGCATAAATAGCTCACGACACTAACAGCACTTAGATTAATTGCTACATCACTATATGATTTGCCAAACCGCTCGTTTGGCAATAAAAATCTCACTTCGTAATTGACACAGATGATGCTTCGCGATTTATTGTTGCACCAAAGCATTGTCAACCTTGAAGAACTACAGTGTTAGAGTTATTTTGCTCTGGCAGTGGCTTTACTCTCGTTTATGTGACAAAGTTATGCTACGGCAACGTAATAGGTAAAAGAAATGTCTGTAAAAATGTAGTTGAAGTTTTTAGAGTTGGCGCATCTTATTTTTTAAATGAATTGGAGCACGGACCTCACAATAGGTGCTGTGGTTCAACTATTATTAAAATTGGATAACTGCCTCTAGTGAAAAGTCGTCGTATAACTAGTTGTACCATTGATTACCCCGTAACGTTAATTCCAGACTATATACATTTCAGTCTCATCCAGATCCGATCAGACGTTTTGACGTGACGGAATGATATACATTCCTCGACCTTACTTTGCGCATTTATATATTTATATTGACTACTAGCTTCTACTATCGGCTTCGCCTGTGTTTCCACGGGATAGACAGTAGCCTATGTGTTCTTACAGATAAATTTTAATTCGATCTGTACAGCCATTTTGACGTGAAGGAGTAAAAAATAAATAAGAAATCTTCGCATTTGTAATACCTATCAGTAGGATTGTTTTTCCGCTTGTGTCGGTAATACCATAGGGTTCTTTCTAGGTTTTAAAGCAAATAGTTCTTTACTTACATGGGGTCTCAGGTTTGGCCATCCACTCGTTACCACGCGGTATGTTATGACAAGTGGGGCACACGTATTTGTGGAACGGTATCGCAGTTTTGTTCTTCAACATTCCCTGCAGTTCCAATTTCGTCTGTGGCGGCTGAAATAGTAAAAAAGTTTGCATTAAAAATCAAGTGGAATAAACCAATCGAATTTGGGTTTCTGTGCTGTAAAAGTTATTATGGAAGGCCTATATTCTGCACATTCAAATTTATGTCTAAGCATGTTCATTGTTAACATGTTAAGAGACAAAAATGGTCATAAAATACAGAGGAATTGTGGGAATATACGGTGTACAGACTTTAAAACGGACATATAAAATATATGTACACATTTGGCCTATATTTTTGCATGTTAAATGCATATATGTAAACAATGTCACCATGTTTGTACACTGCACAATGCCAGATGGCATTGTCTAACAGCCAACGAGGCAATGCAGAAATGTATAGGAACATAACCTAACATCACGCCTTTTTATGTAGGCAACGTGCACATTATGGCACTTAATGCCATGTAACTGCCACTTTTGACTATTTAAGTTGAGTTCCATGTAATACGGGGTGAGTTTATTGTCATATAGGTACCGGGCACAATTTCAGACACCGTGCTACTACTGAGAACTTAAAAAAAATCAATCAATATTATTTTGCCCGACCCGGGAATCCAACCCCTTGCCCGGAACTCGCACTTGCGACCACTCGGCCAGCGAGGCAGTCACGTGTAAGAGTAGACTAATAATATTATACTAATTTTTATTGATATTATAAATGCAAATACAATTTTTGTTTGTCCTTTTTTCGCATCGCGACGAAGCGATTAAGATATAATTCTTGTGTCTGGGCATAGGTAACAGGCTGGTTAGTTATTTATGTTACATTTTGGCAGTTCCTTATTTTTTTTTCTAATAAAACCGTTGCCCCACATTACGATTTTCTCCTGTGTCGTGGGTGCGTTTACAAACATACAAGTTCACATACACAATGACACCCAGACCCGGAACAACAATTTGTGGATCACACAAAGTATTGTATATGGCAATAGGCTCACCCACTATTACATGGGACTCATAACATAAATAGTGAAAAGTGGGTTTTACTTCTGTGTGCACCTCTGCCTAACCTACCTTCGGGGATAAAAGGCGTGATGTTATGTTATGTTACAAAGTATTGTTCCGTGTGGGAATCGAACCCGCGACACGTTGCACGGCAGACGGTTGCCCAGCCACCGCACCAACCGTCAAAGTCAGTTGAGAGTTAAAATAAGTTAAATACTCACACTATATTGTTTATCTATCTCAAATAAACTTAAGGGGAAGACTCTTGGCTTGTTGGAAGTGCTTAGTGGTGGTTCGTTTCTGGCGATCATGTTTAAGAACTGAGGCACGAGGAATGGACTAGGGTACAGCTCGATGTCCAAGGGTAGAAGGAAGTGGGTCAAGGCTGCAGCTCTAGCAATGTTCCTGCCGACGTTGACAGGGTATAACAGGTTCATCTTTTCCTTGTAGGTACTAGAAGAATTGACGGCATACGGAGCTGGCAGTGCGCAGTCGTACGGTGTCTTCAATAACTCATCTGCATTTGGAATCTGAAATGTAATTGTATGAATGTTATTGCAATGCTTTATATAAGAACTTGATAATGAAAATGGGAGTTTATTTAGCTTAAATGAAGGTTTGGAAGGACTAAACTTCCACAACTTCTTTAACTGATCTATCCCCAAGCGGTGACCAGTGATCGCTCTCCACTAACTCAATTATAGAACTTATTTCCTATGTACTACTTTGACTACTACTTGTACCACCAGATTACTTTTGTATGAACATATTTTGGGGATTTACATCCTTACTAATATTATAAATTGGAAAGTGAGTTTGTTTGTTTGTTTGTTCCACTTTCACGCCGTAACTACTAAATCGATTGCTTTGAATTTTTCCAGACGTAAAGTTAGAAGTCTGGATTAAATAATAGGGTACTTTTTATCCCGGAAAAATTTGATATTCCCGAGGGAAAACAGGGAAAACAAAAATATTCCTATAGATGGCGCTGGATGTATTGTATATGTCACATAGGCTACTTTTTATCCTTTTGTGACGCGAGCGAAGCCGCGTGTAAAAGCTAGTGTATCATAATCGCGTTGTTGTAAAAGCGACAGTTGGTTATGAAGTCGACTTCGTGTTCGTTAATCTTTTATTGGAGTTGTTGATGTTTAAATAGCACGGAATATCTAAAGTTTCGTGTATTACTTCCCTCTTAATGAACTCACAAAGTAAATGGTGAAAAGTGAATTTATATGTACCTATATCTTGACAAATGACAAATAAAAGTGTTAATGCTCCAAACAAAACTGTAATAATTTACTTTTAAATTCTCTTTCTATACGTGCAATGAATTACTAACACGATTGTGTATTGTGTGTAATATAAACATTAATAGCTCAGTAATAAACTAGTATGTATTTGTTTTGTTAAAACTGAGTAAAAGTGTAAATAAGGAAGTGAATCAAATGTCTATCTGGCTTATTGCCAGACACTATTGTTACCTACGTTCCAGAATTGTAACAGGAGCGGTCAATGACTTTATATATAACATATATATACACATATCATTATACAGTATGTATCTGTGTATGTAAGTACAAAGGTACATACGAAGCTATACATAAGCATAACCCTTGAATATGTAGAAACGTGATATAACGTGAGACCACGATAGGCTGGTAGTTCATAGTTTGATGAATAGGGTGTACGCTTATTTAGACGTGGTAACTAGAGAAGTATAATTGCTTTAGTTGCAAGAGTAAACACAACTCAAATTGGAGGTGATCAGATGATTGAATGTGCTGACCTTATGGCTTCTTGAATTTAGGGCTCGTACACAAAACTGCGATGCGATGCGATGCAAATTCGCAACGCAAAAAATTACGATGCGAATTGCTGCGATGCGATTTCGTGCGACAAGGCTGGCAATTCCTTCGACAGCCGTCAACCGGACTAAGCGTATTTTAAATTGAAAACTAGATTGTGACATGTATCATAAAGAGATTTGTGCACTTCTGTTTTTGCTTAGGAGAAAGAAACAAAGAAGATTTTGGGACGACAAAATTTGCGAATCAACTCGCAAGTTCTTGGGATACGTAGAGGGAGCTCGCAAATCTTTGCGATGCGACGCCGCAGTTTTGTGTACGAGTCCTTAGTCCATGTCTCTTTGACTTTAGTTCGATTCTCTAGTTACGATTCAAAGTGGTGGCTATTTTTCGATATGAATTTCTGTGTGACTATAGATCTCTTTCCTCTGTCTACCCCCCATTGGTGTTATATTGTTATGTTTACTTTGTGTTCTGTGTCAGAGTAATTGTGCACATATCAATTTACTTTATTATAAAACTGTATTAAGGCCAGAGCTACAGTCCAAGCCATTATCTGAAGCGTTTTCTCAATCAATACTCATTTATTATTATTCGCTACGATGCCTTAGTCTATCTGTGTTAGCAACAAACTCAAGAATAGTTGAACGCATTTTAATGCGAATCTCACTAGTCGATAGCGGATTTTCTTGGAGAATTAAGCACTACAGTTGAAACTATATTATATATGTGTATAAAGTTAGAGTAAAAATAAATATTTTATATAACTTACGTTTTCAGGTATATGTTTGTTAGAGAAAAAGATGTGGAAGGTCACGAATTGCTGGACGAGGTCGTGGCCGGAACAGTCTCGGAGATATCTGATGCTGTTCACTGAAGGCAGCATGTCTGTGCCAGGAGCATGGATCGCCAAACTGATCGGAGCCATCCATCTGTGGACAATAAACAGATCTTATAAGTCGAATAATGTATCAGCCGTGTGGTAAAGGTAATGATGATGTAGTGACACTTTTCACATTTTAAACCAGTGAGTTTGGACATGTAGAAAGGATGGACGAAAGTAGAGTAACGAAAGAAGTATATAGAGCGGATAATAATGTCGCCGTCGGTAGTGGGCACCCTAGACGCACATATACTTACCAGATTGTGATGTCCTGGTAATATAAAGCCCTAAAGGCTTATAACAGAGACCGGACAGGTACCTATATAATAAAATCGCAGGAAATTCTAAACTGTACATTGAATATTTTTTTTAAATAGTAGGTACTTGTGACGTGATCTACAGTCTATAGCCAAAGATATAGTTATTACAATTTTTTTCTGTTTGTCATGTCCGGCCTAAATTTAAAAAGTACTGCATAGATTTAATTTTAAAATTTTGCATGAATATCTACCAACTAACAGATCGGGTCAAAATATAGGCTACATAATATCGCGCTATCGCCTACGTAAGAGGAGCTGTAAAGAACTATTCAAAGTCACTTTTCCACGCGAACGACGTCGCGGGCACAGCAAGTTCTTAAATAAACCTGATCCTTTTAAACTGCGGTCTTCAAACCAGCCCAGTTTGGAGAACCCCTCTTTTGTGGAGGAGGTTCCTAGTGAAGCAAGTGGAACAATCATCGGTTGTTGATGGTACTGATGAACTGTCTTACTGTGACGTGTTAAAAACGAGGGTAACGCGTTTTGAATGGAGGTAATGTACGTGTGTGCGTTATTTGCTATGTTCTAGATTCTGGAATACTTCCAACTGATAGGATTGATTTGAGGCGAGGATAAACCGGTAAACGAACTGACAACGAACAAACACCTGATGGTAAGCAATCGGCGTCGCACATGGACACCTGGAACACCAGAGGTGTTCCAAGTAATTGATCCTTCGGTAACCTCACTCACACGATGAAACACAACGCAAGCGTTGTTTCACGTTGGTTTTCTGTGAGGCCGTGGTATCACTCCGGTCAAGCTGGCCCATTCGTGCCGAAGCATGGCTGTCACGCATTTAAAATTATGATTATTATATATACCTATAAACCTGTATAAAAAGTCGTAAGGATTCGAAATGAAACAGCCCCTCGGCCTCCTCATCTTTTTCTAAATAGGTTGCATTAAAAGTATCTACCTATATTTCCTCACGCAAATCTTTTTTACAGGCATTGTCTTTAAATTTCCTTAGCTTTTATACCTATAAATAGGTATAACTATCATTAGTTTCTATAACTATATACTAATTTCCTATAGAAAATTCAATAAATTACAAGTAAGTAATTGGAGTAACTGTCTTGTAGCTTATGGTGGGGATAATATTGAAGGGAAGGGAGGAACGGAGGCGTGTAATTATATTTAATCAATAAGCTGTTGGTGCCGCCCTAGGTCGCGTGACTGGCGACATTTGCGCCTCCACCACAGCTTGCAAACCGACACTTCCAGCTAAAATGTTGCTCAGTTCGTGTGCTAAGGTAACCATGATTTCTTGTTTGTTTACTTTGCTTGTTTATTTTTAGTGTTCCTTATGGATATGGCCCTATACAGTTCTAAGTACTCTTAGCTCTGTCTCGTCATTTATGGTGCTAAGTAATTTGCCACCTAAAATCATAGGATTTGGAGCAGAAAACTTGAGCATAAAAAAAAACAAAAAAGTATAAAAACATTTTGAATAAAAACTAAACTTTTAATAATGTAATCACCCCGGGAAAATAATGTTGAAATCAGTAGCAGTTTATAAACGACAATGGAACTTTAAATCACAATAAAGAGCGTCCGTTTTATGATCGAATTTTTAGACAAAAAAGCTGTTATTATAGAAAATATGAAACGTTAATCATTCCACAAATATTGCTGATCGAATCTGACGCCAAAAAACTCAGTCTATCACGTACCGTTTCCATTCGTTGGCAGACAGGCGCGAAAACTAAAAACATGGACACAATAAAAATCGATTACTCGCTGTTAATGAAAAAGCTTGCTATAGCCAACAAAAGCCATTATTAATGGGATACCAGCTACAAAAAGAGACCATGGTGCCAACCACCGGGTTTTTGGGCCATTTAGTTCGGGTGATACAAACTAATAAACTCCTATGCAACAACATAACATCACGCCTTTTATCCCCGAAGACCCCTTCGGCAAGGCAGAGGTGCACATTATGCCACTGTACAATGTAACACCCACTTTTCACTATTTATTTATGTTATGAGTCCCATGTAATAGGGGGTGAGCCTATTGCCATATACCGTGCACAATTCCAGACTCCGTGCTACTCTACTACTAAGATTTTTTTTAAAAACCCATATATAGTTTGCCCGACCCGGGAATCGAACCCGAGACCCCTTGCCCGGCAGTCGCACTTGCTACCACTCGGCCAACGAGGCAGTCTATATTGATAAACTCCTATATTTGGGTTCAAAACGTATTGTTTAAGATTATGTAACTGTAATGTATCATGACGTAACAGAGCTGGTGATTTACACAATGAGTTTCTTAAATGTCAGTGGGACTGTCGCTTCTTTAGAAATCCTAGATGAAATGATAAGTGAGCGCCGCGCACCGCGTTCTAGATACCTGGGGGCACGAAGTAACACTCGTTTGTTTTGTAAGTCAATACAATGGTATATTTATTATAACTAACTAAGTGAAAAAAAAAGC